AAATGTCTGAAAAAAAAAGTTGAGAAAAAAATGGTGCTCCGAACTGAAGTTTAAGCCATTCTTGGGATATAAATTTTCAAGCTTGACCTGTTGCTGGGTTAGTACTTTTGTCCTTTTACTGCGTTATAATACTGAATTATATTTATTATTATAGAAATTATATTATATAGAAATTATATAATAGAAATACTGAATATTATAGAAATTATATAATAGAATACTGAATATAGTTAGTTTATATTGAATATAATAGAATACTGAATATAGTTCTATTATATACTGAAATTATATAATAGAATACTGAATTATATTATAGAAATTATATAAAATTATATTATAATTATATATTATATAATTACATAATACATTAAAATTATATTATAGAAATTATATAAAATTATCTTATAGAAAAAAAATAAGATTATATTACAATTATATAATATATTAAAATTATATAAAATTATATTATAGAATTATAGAAATATCGTTTCGATTTGAAAGAAAATGAAAATTATAGACCTATGGAATATGAGTTTGAATTTTCAATTTTCACACGGAACATTAATACATACGAATTATATATAATGCTTCCAATGCTTTATATCTAACGTGTAACATGTTACAATAACTAATATTGCGAAGAGAAGAAAATTGTAAGATATAAATTAATGTTACTACCATTAATGTTTGTATACCATAATTCTTCAACGAGCCGAATGTTTTATACATACTACTTGAAAATAGTAAATAGCAAATATATTTATTTTAATGTATACATGTAATTTTGAAAATAAAATATTTTATTTGATACGGTAAAGCTTGAACGTAATGTTTGAAAATAATATTTTATTTGAAGAGTATTAAAAATACTTGAATTTTGTCTAGAAATATTTTATTTACTTTAATTTATTTCCTTCGCTTTAACTATCATTACTGAAAAAAATAATCTTTCACATTCGAGTATAACCAGAGCTGAGTAAAATACTATTTTAAATGGCAAATAGCAAATAGATATATTATTTCATATCATGTGCATGTATTTTTGAAAATAAAATATTTCATTTGTTGCAAAAAATTTCTAAGATGAGTATTTCATTTGAAAAAACGCTGAAAATATTTGTGCCATAGTTTGGAATATTTTATTTATTTAATCTATCATCAGCAAATAAAATATTTTTATTTTACCAAGTCATAGTGTAAGATATATTTATTTTGGTAATCTAACATTCAATATAGTTCTTCAATGAATACTTCTATTGAGAATCTTCAGTGAACTCAAGTTCGTAATGAAGTTAGAACTACTGCAATATTTAGGCGATAAGGATTTGCAAATTCAAAGTATTATGAAATATAAATAATACGTGAAACAATTATATTTAAAATATAATACGCTAATTGCGCTCCAGTTGAAAGACTGTTTAGTTTCGCTGGTTTAATTCTTCGTCCACAAAGTCTAATAGTTTAAATGATGAAAATTTTGCAAATATTATAATTTCTTACGTTATCTCGTTTTACGTTAATCATTTTCACAATTTATTTTCAGGTTAAGAACTATGGGAAGTATTCTGTTTTATGCTTTATGTTATTAAAATAAAAAATATTTTATTTCATGTTTTAGATTATCAAAATAAAATATTCATGTTCATACTTTAACTTTAGATTATCAAAATAAAATATTTCATTTATTGAAATTTTATGTCCTATTTGAAATACAATTTTATTTGAATTGCGAATAATCCATTATTTAAAATAGTATTTAAAATATTTTCTCTATAAATATTACCCAGCTCTGAGTATAACGAACTAGTTTCCTAATCTGTTATTATACTGTCAATATTGAAAATCATGACACAATAAAATTTTCTACGTGCATAAAGAAAACGAAAGAATACAATATGTACCTACCAAGATCAAAAAAAAAAAAATGTTAGATCTATGCTACTGTGGTTTCTCAGAATTTTAAAACAACGCGCACATTCAGTCAGAAATTTTTTACCGCCATTATCTACAACAAACACTTATTCCTAATTTCTTTCGATACTTCAGTGATAGAAATTCTGAGATTTGATGGAAGAATGAATCGAAAAAAATGGGTATTATTTATGGAGTTTAATTCAATTGTTTTAAGCGAGACTTTATCACTGATTATTCAAATAAAATATTTTACGCTTTAGATTATTAAAGTGTATTACTTTGTATTTCAGATTATTTAAAATGAAAATACTTTTTGTTTGTCGAAATCGTAAATTCCTACTTAAACAGATTCTGAAATATTTATTTCGCAAAGTATTACCCGGCTCTGGTTACTTTGGCGGATGTGCATTTGTTTAATTTTTGCATTAGTATATTGAAATGAACTACATATTTAGTATAATGGAGGGGATATATGTTTTTCAAAGCTTTCTTTCTTTGTTACACTTTCCGCGAATAATTAATCTGAATAGTTTATAAAAGTAACTAATTTTTTTTACCATTTCAAAAAAATCTGAAAACATACTTATTCGAGTCTCTATTTTAATATAATCGACCCTTGACTCAAATATTTGAAGGAACAATTGGTGAAAATAAAAATTGACAGGAAATTCAAATTCACTAATGCTAGTGCTAATATCAACTTTAAGAATTAAATAATATTATTGTAATATAATAAATATATATATTATAAAATAATAAAATTTAAGTTTATTCTTTATAATTTCTTGTAAGTTAATTAAGCAAATAAAATATGAAAACATTATTATTCCTCTAATTATAATTAAAATTATATATATAACTAATAATGATGATGATTTAATTAAATAAATGTTAATTGATATAAAAATAGTAAAAAAGAAAGTTAATCAATTGATTTAATTAATTAAAAGAAATTTTAAGTAAAAATAAATTTATTAAAAAGATTAAGACTATGAATGAATTTATTGTAATAATAAGATTCAGGATAAAAGTTTTCATTTCTCGGGAAAAACTTATGCTAAAAATACATATAGGTAGTGATTTTGACCGTAATAATATATAGTAAAAAAATTGAAAAGTTCAATAACCTTTACAGTGGCTTTTTTAAATGATACCATAATTTTTCCCACTCGATACCATACAAGTTTTGTCAGAAACATTTTTTCGAAATATCTTTTGAAATTGCTCTGTGAGACCAAAATGAAATTTTTTTTTACCAGCTACACGATGCAAAAAAAAAAAAAAGAAAAATGATTTCAGAAAAAGAATATTTTAATTCAAAATGTTGTATATTGGCCATTCTCATGTTGAGTGAAAAATATTTATTTCATCGTCGCAATTCGAAAAGATATTCAAGTGGCCTCGTTTAAACGGACCACCCTGTATATATCCTCAAAAGATATCAAGAGAAGTTTGTAAAGATAGAAAAAAAAAAGAAATAACGACTGAAAGAAAGAAATTTTTAGTCCCAATATTGATTTTGAATTTAAATTTGTCGTACCTTTCAATTCCAAATGTTATTAATAATACTCTCTTTGCAAATTGAGGAGTGTAACAAACGATTTGGAAATAATTCAAAAGTTTCCTTACGGCGAAGCTCTTTTGATGAATGCTTAATTAATACTTTAACTCCGTTTCGTAGAAATGATTGAAACTTAATTTGAAAAGAAATTCGATCATAAATTTTTAAACGTAATCATTCATGCTGCTGCTTCGTTTCAATTCTGAATTTTCTCCATCAGAAAAATTACGATCACAAATCTTTCGATCTTGACAAAGAAAAAAAAAAAAAAAACGGATAGGGGGAGCTGAACTTAATTTTGTGTTCATTCTTCATTCTCAAAACTACCAATTGGAAACTCTGTTTATTCTAAAACAACTGATTAACATTATTTCACTTTTTCCGTGTTCAAATTAGCGTCGACAGGTTTGTCAAATTTATTCGAGCAAAGTATTTATAATTCCGATGGTTTGCATGCACGTGACAACAAAGTAACAACGAAACGAAACAGAAACGAGCAACTCACCTAGCCTAGTTCCCGAGTTCAAGGGTCAAACGGTCCTTGTAAGCATCCTCCGCGAGGAAAACGAGAAAAACACGCTTCTCTGTTGCGACGTTCCAATCGTTCTCTGGCACTCGATGCAACGTACAATTTATATTTTCACCTTTTCTCGTTCCGACATTCATTCTACGATTCTCTCTCTCTCTCTCTCTCTCTCTTTCTTTCACACACACACAGACACACTTTATTTCCGCGCACGTAACGTAAAAGAACACACGCGATTACACTGAACTCGACGAACTCGAGGATTCGTCGATTCGTTAGCTAGCAGGCTCCGTCAAAACGCCGCAGCTGCACAGTCTCTCGTTTGAAAGCAGGTCCGGTGCCTCGCGCGCGGGGAAAAAGCCACGAGGTCAGGACCTTCCAATTCCTCGAATAATTCCACTTAGTGCTCTGACAAATCCGGATGAAGCGAGGATGCCCGAGGTTGCATCCTCTCCCCGGGTTTCCTCGGCGCGCGCCTCGTCTTTCGGGTTCCTGAGATTACATCAATCCCCTCGTTTCACGGCGTCAAGCGTCGCGACGATTTCTCGGCTCGCAACTTTCCTCCATATCTCCCGGTTTCTTTTTTTTTCTTTCCTTTCTTCTTTCTTCGCTCTCTACACGAGAAAAAAACACGTCGTGTCCGGGAAAAAAATCGCGTCTTGAAACATCTATCATACTCGGTAAATCTGAACGTACGAAATATTTTCACGCGGTCAACGATCAATAAAATCGTTGTCCAAAAACTCCCCCTCCCCTCCCCCCCCCCCTTCCACCCTTCGTTATAGTTTCTCTTTCCTTCTCTCCATTTCTCTCGAGTCGCCCTTGATTCCGCGAGATGGATCCCAACTGCATCACGTGCGTCGTGGGTTAGGCCCCTGTACAGAAATTTCGTACAGAATTCTGAAAAAGCAAAGAGAAGAAACAGCACCTGCGACAGATCTCGTGGGAAAAAAAAAAAAAAAAAAAACAAACTCCTGGAAACGCTCGTTTTCCGACTGATACCGCCAGCGGTACAGTATCGACAGAGCTCACACGGAGATCTCTTGGATCTGGACGCGTTTCTTGGCGCTGCCGGGGGTGCCTGGTTGCCTGAGGATCCCCGGACAGGACAGGCTGACGTTGGGCGCCGGGACTTTGGGCGGCGGCGGCGGTTCCGGTAGGTTCTCGTCGTCGTTGTCGTCGCTGCTGCTGTCCCCGTCGTCGTCGTCATCGTCGTCGTCGTCGTCGTCGTCGTCGTCGTCGTCGTCGTCGTCCATCCTGGCAGTGGTGGCGTCCACGCAGGGCGACGGAGTGCGCGTCCTCTGGACGCAGGGGCTCCTGCTGTAGAGCGGTGGCTCGAGCACGCGCTTGCCGCCGCCCGGCGGCGGTGAACACTGAAACTCTTGCAGCTGCAGCTCCAGTTCCTGGGCGAGTTTCGTCTTGTGCGACGGCGGGCTCGAGGACGGCGAGTCCATCAGGTTCAACGAGGACAGCCTCTGCTTACCGGAGGACATCTCGATGCCGGAGCATCCCGCCTCAAGCAGCTCCTCCTTCTTCTTGTCGCTAAAGGCGGACGAGAGGCCGCCGGCGACGTTCGAGGCGTTCCGGTCCCTCTGATGGTAAATCCCCGCGAATATGAGAATGTTGAGCAGCAGTAGAAACACGCCGACGGCTATGGTGACCGTGAGGGCGGTGGTGTAGCTTTGGTAGTGGCTGGATGCCAGCTTCCTCAGGAGGTTGTTGGGCCCCGGGCCCAGGTTCGAGTGCTGCAACGGCCTGGACGAGGTGGTGGTGGCCACGGTGGTGGCCACGGTGGCGTTCGGCGTGCACTCGGTGGTCGATATCGTGGCGCTGGAGATGGAGGATGGCTCGGTGGGCGAGGGCACCGGAAGCGGCGGCGCCGGTAACGGCAGCGCCATCGTCTGCGGCCGCACCGCGCCCTCGTACAGGCTCGGGTTCTCGACCAGGTGATGGTGACGCATGCTGATCTCGTAGCCGGGTCGGTGCAGCTGCGGCAACAGATTCAGCCACAGGGACATCTTGTGGCCTCTGTAATGCGACCGCATTTCCGTGCTACGGCCGGCTTCCAGGTACAGCTGATTTATCGAGTCGTACGAATCCCAAAACGGCGGGCTGCTCGGAAGTCCGTCGGGTCCCGATGTCAGCGGGCTGACGCCGTTCGGGTCCCTGAAACATACACGTCAAACATACCGTCTCTCTCTCTCTCCTCTCTGGCCCTCGTTTTAGACCGTGCTGTTGATCGCTTGAACTTTCTACCGTTGGAAAACCTGTACCAGACTATTCCTACGCTGATGATTTTTTTAACCCTTTGCGCTCCTATCTCATCCCTGCCGGAGATGACGAATACAAATTTGTTATGGAACTCGTGTGTCATGCTAGAACGACGGTAACGTTAAATAAAACACCATGTGGCATTCGAGATGCACGGAATTTGTTTTCTCCTTGCTTTATTTCTCCTTTTCCTAAAAGTAGATACAAGTTTACAGCCAGCAACGTTGAAAATAAATCGAGTGCAAAGGGTGTTAAAATGTATTTGTATAATTATTCATTGTTGATTAAGGAAAACTCCTCGTGTATTTGGAATATTCTGTGGAATACGTGTCGTAGGAAAAAAAAAAAAAAAAGTATCAGTCGCAGTCTGCAAAATTGACAAACTGGATAGTATTCATACAGTTTTTATGGCAATTATCTCAATACTAGATATGGTACTTTTGATACAACTCACGTGTTTGCAGTGACTGAAAGTGAAATTAAACTAGAAAAGTATAGAGCTCACATCAGAAGCAAAAGATTCTTATTAATTTACACAACCAGTGCAAAAATTGAATAAACATTTAGTGAATTGTTAATACACCAACATCAATCATATGGTTGTATACATATTGTTATATAATATGTATTATACGGACAGGTCTAAAAAATAAGTCAAGGAGTGAACGTTTGCAGGGATTATTAAACAAAATCCACAAACAAATGCCACAAGGATTTAAAAAATAATTTAAATAATGATTCATCTGTCAGCATAGTTTCTTAAGGAATCAAAAGTAAAATGAAATAATGGAGATCTTTTTCCGCGTAGCAGCAAATTTAGTAAAAGAAATATTATATTATATTTTATTTTATTATATTATATTATATTATATCATATTATATTATATTATACTGTATTATATTGTACTATACTGTATTGTATTGTATTGTATTACATTATATTATATTATACCATATTTAATATAATACATTAAATTCAATGCCTAGAAGAATTGCAGTTATTGTAAAATCAAAAGGAAATCCTACAAAGTTAATTAAGACAATTCATATACATTTTTGCAGCAAATTTAATTTAGCAAATTATCTTTTCCTCATTAAAACTTATTACTGATTCGTCTCGTGTGTTTCTGCCGATTTATCAATTTCCTTTGTCAATTTTGCAAATTATGCAAACGAGTGATATTTCTTTTACAATATGTTTTCTACAGAATGGTCCAAATAGGTACAGGTTCATTTTTTTTAATTAAAAATTGTTATAAAAAGGATTTCAAGTTGCATCAACATGCAAATACTTTCTACGCTGTGTTGCAGGGGCTATTTGTAGATTGTAATATCTTTTTTGCCAGGGATGTTCAAAGCGTTGCGTTTCATGTTTCTTTTTAGTTTTCCATATTGATTGGAAATTGGACCCGCACATCAGAGGGCAAAGCGTTATTCTACTACATTTTATACAGATATTGCAATTTGTTTCTCGCAATAGACTGAAATTATTTAACTAGAGTGTATTTCTCTTCGCTTTGATACACGATATATTTGTAATGAGATTGGTCATTTTATTAACGTAAGAAAGTGTCACTGTCGATCGTTTTATATAAAATGGACATACAAGTACGGAAACGAGTATTTTGTTTTAAATTTACGATCCACACAATTTTCCAAGAAAATACATTTATTTAATCTTGAACAATTTCGATAGAAAAGCTACATTGTTAAATTTAGAATTCTAGATATAGAAGAAGTAAGTACAAGTTGAACAGACAATTTATGTAACATCTTATTTATAAAAAGAGAACGTCAGAACACTTTAATTCATTTAATATTTAATTCGTTAAAAAAAATTAACGCGTATACAATGTACATTATCAGTATGTTTTAATAAATTATAAAATATTGAAATAAACTACGTAGAATGTTAAGTATGTATCGAAAAATAATAAACATAAATACGTGAACTCGTAAATAAATAGCAACGAATTAATGTCTACTGCTATAACATTACTTTCTTATGACTAAATTTTATAGCTCAATACTACTGATGTAGTGTTATATCTTTTCATAACCGAAGCGAAAAGCCTGAAACGTTGTAAACGATCCTCCGGCATTATGGCTGGTTTGTATGTAATAATGTAACGAGTATAGATATTACAACCATGGAAGTAAATGATGGCGACATTGTGAATTAAGTATACGTTATTTCCGTTTCAACGAAATTATCTGTAAAAAATTATTATTACAAAGTTTTATGGTACAGATGAAAATGGATACGTAAAATTCTTAAAAACATTTCAAAAGTTATTAAATTTTTTTTCATATATATATATATATATATATATATATATATATATATATATATATATATATATATATCCTTGTCAATTTTACAATAGCATTTGTTAATGTAATTTCGAAAGCTCACTTTCGATAGCTTCGTAACTTTAATCTTTTAAAGAAACTTCAAAATTTAATATTTTTAGATTTTTTATTTAATATTTTTTATTTTTTATTCTTTTCGAAATTAATTTAATTTATTTTATGTATCTTTCTCCATTCTACGATAGTATTTGCTAAGTTAATTATTCAATGTAGCAGGAGAATATTAGATAAATTAATAAATTTTTAAATTAATTAAAACGTAAAATTTTCATCAGGAATATTAAAGTAAAAAAATTAAAAACACAAGATTCCATTTATTTTACGAAAAATCATTTAATGTACGCAATTGTTTATTTACAAAATATCCAACAACAATGATAAATTGTACATCTCGGTTACTTTGATGCTTCCAGTATTAATAAATTAATAAAGTCTCAAATTTGTAGATGTTTAGCTTTAATTATGATTTTAGTTAATCACAAGTCTAATTTTTCTTTTCAAATTATCCGCACAAACGCATAACTTTATTTGGAAGGTTTATTACGTAAAACGAACTGATCATGTTAAATGATACTGAGAGTAAACGCGTTCATGTAAAATGTTACAAAATGACGTGTAATAACTAGACTGCGGATTTTTATACATTTTTAAATGCTCATCAAAGTAGTTGAATGAAACCTAAATAGAAGATCGTTTCTTCTGTGCAGAATTACAATCAAAACTCTTTTATATGTGTTGAATTTTTCTTCAAATTATATTTATATATATTTATATATTTATATATTATAATGAATATTAATATTATATTATATATATTAAACATTAATATATATTTATACATTTCATATATTTATATACTTTTTTCAAATTTTCCATAAATACATAAAAATTTATAAATTAGTGATATCAATAATTATCGATAAGGCAAATTTCACAAGGAGATACATATCAGACTGACATAAAGACTCCTAGCTCTCACATAGATCAATTAACAATTTTTTCTCGTTCTTGGACAAAAACATTTGTCTTTCAATTGAATTTTATTTATTTATATGTGATTTAGTCATTCGTGTGTTATTTATATACAATTTTAAATGAAAGATTGAGAAGAGAATGGAAAGCAAACGTTTCAGTCTGCTGACAACACAAAATAAATAGAAAAAAAAAAACTTTTACGTGTGATTTTTATTGTATAAAGTTCAACACGAAGATACAAAGTATAATTTATATTATTAAATTATATAAAAAAGAGATAACAAATGTAATTGATACAAAATGAATTCGAAAACTAATGACGCGAGACTTTTTCGAAAACTTCGAGACTTTTCTCTAATAGAATGCGATGCGATAAAAATATTCGATCTTGAAGATCGTATTCAAGTGCAATTTTGCAATAAGTTTCTTCGACAAATCTCCACCGGTCCAGAGATGTGTAAAACATTCAAAGATATCATTCTTGGACAACACGAGTTTTCGATTCAGACTCGGTTTCTTTCTGGGTCAAGATTGTTCCCGCGAGAGGATGCTAGTCCGTGTAGTAAACCGTGACAGCTAACGAAGAGTGTTCAGAAGAAACCGCGAATCGCCGTTTCACTAATTGTAAGAAACATGTACAGGGTGACCGTATAAATCCGCAACTATCTTCATAACTGTTCCTTGTTCGAAGAATGTAAAGGCTGAAATATTGGCCTTGTATTTCACGAGTCAATTGAATTTAATAAATTATATTACATTATACATTTTTCATTAATTAAATTTTATATTTCATTTATTATACATTATACTATATTATATTATATATTTTTCATTAATTATGCTTTATATTTTATTTATTATGCATTGCATTATATTATATTGTATATTTCTATTAATTAAATTTTATATTTCATTTATTATACATTATACTATATTATATTATATATTTTTTATTAATTATGCTTTATATTATATTTATTATGCATTACATTATACTATATTATATATTTTTTATTAATTAAATTTTATATTTTATTTATTACACATTATATTATACTATATTATATATTTTTTATTAAATATATTTTATATTTTATTTATTATATATTATATTATATTATGTATTTTTATAGTTTATAATTTTCTACTCTCCAACTTATTTTATTGTAAGAACGTAATAATAATATACGTAAATAATATACAAGCTAAAGCTTCCAATCAACAATATTATATTATATATACGTGTTTTATATTATATTACATATTATTTTATTATATTTTTTTTGTTATTTTTATATTTATTTTTAGTATATCTTTAATATTTTTACTATTTTTATATTTATTTTTATTATATTATATTTATATTATATATTTTTATTATATTTTTATCTCACAACTCTACCATTTAACCCGCCTTTATGTACAACCAGATACGATCTTTTGCAAAAAGTCTCTTTTTGACTTTTCCTTTTTATTATTGTTGAAACGGGCAAAGGCAATGGCGGATCACTCTCAAACTCGAAATATTTCGGAAAATACCGTACAGA